AGATTCAAAATCACCTAACAAGATTTTCAAATCCACCTAACAAGATTCAAGGTCACCTAACAAGACTTTCACCCTCCCTTGTTGCCTATAAATACCACCCCTTAGGACTTGTAAAGCATTCATCTTTTGGGAGTGGAAAACCCTCCAATAGTATTATTGCTTTCCTTATTGCTTATAGCTTTCTTTAAGTATTGCTTTCTTTTATTGTATTCTTGCTTCCTTTTAATTTATTGCTTTCTTTTACTTTAAATATTGCTTTCTTTTATTGTGTTATTGCTCTTTTACTTCCATTGCTTGAACTTCCTTCTTCCCTTAGAGGAGTGAAACTCTTCCACTTTTCTAGAGCTTTACCAAAGCCGTGAAGGGTGGAACGTGATTCACTCATTCTTTGTCGAAGATCGGCTCCTTGTGTAAAATGTGTTACCTTGTAACTCCTCTACTTGGAGGGATGAGCATCACTCACTTTTCTAGTTTTAACAAAGCCATGAAGAGTGAGTAGTTTCTCATCCAATCTTTAGTAAGAGGTGGTTATCCGAAAGTTAAATTTATGCAATTCGTTTATGCTTAGCTTTAGTCTTTATTTTTTCATAATGTCTTCTCATCATATTTTTGTCTTTATTTTAAGCATGAATAGCTAAATCTCTTAGTTGAAAAAACCAAGAGGAACTTCCACTTGGGTATACCATTTCAACTCATTCTCCTCCTCTCTTTTCAGAGTTCAGTGGTTCGGTTTGACTGGGTTGAGGGTGGATAACTTGGTGAGTCTTTGATATTCCGTAGGCCTAGTCACGGTTTATGCTTAGATACTCACCAATCTTACCCCTAGCTTCCCACGAATCAATCGTTCATTCATGCTCTATTGGAGGAGGGTTTTGAGTTGAGACGGTATTCCTATTGGAGTGACCTCTTGGATTTGCCAACATTTGTTTCTCATTTTACTAGCATCAAAACAACTTCACCAAACAACTTCCAACAATCAAAGACTTTACACTTTCTTTCTCCCAAAATCACCTTCCCCTCGGTTTACTTCCTTCCCCGTGGAAACGACCTTGGAATACCACCAAGTAAAACACGATCCGTGAAAGTCTCTTTGCGCTTGGGGAACACTTTTGTTCACAGATACTCACATTTGAAATCTCACTCATCCACTATTCCGTTGCCCTTTCTTTTGACATCATCCCTAGGAGAGTGACACTCCCGTTTATTCATATACTATACATGCTAAAAGGTGATGTTTATAGGTTAGGAAACAACAAGAAAATTTGTCAAGCACTGATTACTATCTTGGTCTTGCGCTCATAACAACTTGCGGTGGTTTTTCTTCATGTGGCCCTATATGCCACAATGGTAACACTTGTATGTGGGTCTTCCACCACTATTTAATCTCCTTAGATCTTGTGACATTTGTCTACTTTTACTCCTTCATCTTCCATTGCCTCATCTACCTTCTTGTTATCTGTCTTTATTCTCAATGACGAGAGCATTTGATTGGTCAATACCGGCGTCATTTCTCCTTGCCTTCTCATTGAACAGAGCATCCTTAACCATTGACATGGTAAGTTTACCTCCCAGTGTTGAATTGCTGAGAGAGACTACCAACGGCTCCCAGCTTTCTGGTAAAGAACTGAGAAGTAGGAGGGCTTGTTCTTCATCTCGTAGCTTCAATTCTACATATGATAATTGATTTATCAGGCTCTGAAACTCACTGGTATGCTCGGCAATTGAAGTTCCATTTTTTAATTTCAGATTCACCAACTGCCTCATCAAAGGGCTTTATTCCGAGCTGTCTTGGAATGGTACATATCTTCTAGTTTTTTCTAGAGAACATAGGCATCAGTCTCTTGTGCAACATGGTGGGATACACTATGCTCAATCAATTGCCTAATTTGACTGATAGTTTTTCTATTCAGTTTCTTGCACTCTGTTTCTTTTGTAGGATATGGATTTACACATTTGACCTCCAAGGGATCATACAAGTTTTTAAAACTTAAGAGATCTTCCATCCGAGGTCTCCAAAATGTATAATTGGAGGTAGTGAGTTTGATCATAGCTCCCGATGTTGATTCCTCCATAGAAATTTTGTATTTTTAGGCTTTAAATGTCTCGATAAAAAATTTCAAGACTGAATTTCGCAAAACAGAGTGCACCATTGCGTCTAGCGCAATTGAAATAGCTGGAAAAAAATTCTGGTTCACAAAAAATGAAGCTAAAAGGAGCTCAGAACTGGCTCAAAAAGTTTTTGGTAAACCTAACAAAATATTCCGTTAAACTTGACGAAATATGCTAACGGTGACAGAATATTCTGTGAATGAAATATTCTTTGGGAATATCCTTTGACTAGATAAAATATTCTCTAGGAATATTCCTTGACTAGATGAAATATTTTATGACTAAGGTAGAATATTCCTTGACGCAATAAAATATTTTATCGTCTTCAACCTTCCTACGGTCACTAGTCCGGCGAACTTTTGGCGATGATCGTGAGAGAGCATTCGACGTCGGATTGATGCGAGGCCAATGGGGTTCGACGAGGAGAATCCAATGATGTGGTCAGAATTTGATTTCAACTTCGTTTAGAACCTGTACGAACCAAGAATAATGAGTTGGAAAAAATTTTCGGCAACCCAAACAATGCTCTGATACTATTTTTAGTTACCTAGGGCCAGAAAATCACATCTAACATAATATAAACAAAGAGGAATTTTTTATTTCTATTTGAAAATATATACAAGAATTTTTCACACAAGAAAACTCTGGGACCTCTCTCTTTGTTTCTTCCTCACTAAGCTTTCTATTTATAGGAACTTTTTAGCCAAAAAAAAATGGAGGGCTCCCAAAAATTCTTGCCGCCAAAAAACTTCGGCAACAAAATCTCCCGCAAAAACTTTCTAGATATGGCTTTTGGATCCTTCAGTTTATATGTATCATGCTCTCTCTCTTACTCACACACACACACATACATGTTGGAAAATAAACATGATTTAAGAGTTTTATTGTATTAATATGGTGTGTTAATGCTATATGTTAGTGGAAGAAAATATGCGTTAGTATGTCTTCAATATTTAAATCCATTAGCACACAAAGAATCCACATAAGGCTCGCCGTAATTCAAAAAGAAGATGGAACTAGAATTGATGATTTGGAAGACATCAAGAAGAAAGTGATCCAATATTACAAACTGTTGCTTGGTTCCCCCCCCCCCCCCAATTTGGCTTGAAGATGCAATGGGCGAGAAGTTTCATCAGTAACGACATCACATAGGCACAAGCAGACTCTATGATGCAGAATGTCACAATAAAAGAAGTCAAACAAACCATGTTCTTCATGGAAGATGGCAAAGCCCCCGATCTAGATGACTATCCTGCCTATTTTTTTAAGAAGGCTTGGCATATTGTTGGGAACAAAGTAATAGACGCCTTCCTCTCATTTTTCAATTGTGGGATATTATTGAAAGAGTTGAACTCTACCATAATTGCCCTTGTCCCAAAAGTTCCCAACCCCATAAAATTATCCGACTATACACCCAAATCATGCTCTGCTCAACCATCTATAAGTGTATCTCGAAGATTATAGCTAATAGATAAAGTGGTATTTCCCGAGCTTATTGATAGATCTTAGTCTGCATTCATTAAAAATAGAAACATTTTAGATAACATCTTGCTCTCCGAAGAACTCCTGAGAAACTATCACTTTAATAGAGGCAGCCCAAGATGTACTGTGAAAATTGATATCATGAAAGCCTTTGATAATGTTAGATGAGATTTTATCCTAGCAATTCCATGCCATATGGGATTTCCTATGAAATTCATTAGGTGAATTGAGGCATGCATTACATCTCCTATGTATTCAGTTAGCATCAATTGTGAACTTAATTGATATTTTGGAGGTAGAAAAGGAAATAGGCAAGGGGAAAATCCTTTGACTGCGTCCAATATTTTTTGGGAATATCCTTTGACTAGATAGAATATTCTTTGGGAATATTCTTTGATTAGATGGAATATTATATGACTAAGGTAGAATATTCCTTGATGCAGTGGAATATTCTATCGTCTTCAACCTTCCTTCGGTCACCAGTCCGGCGAACTTCTGGCAGGAACTCTAGCTAACTTCTAGCAATGATTGTGAAAGAGCGTCTGACGTCAGATTGATGGGGTTCAAGGGGAATCCAATGATGCGATCAAAATTGATTTTGAGTTCGTTTAGAACCCATACGAACCAAAAATAGTGAGTCGGAAATTTTTTTCGGCAACCCAAACAATGCTCTGATACTACTTGTTGGTTTCCCAGGGCCAGATAATCACATCTAACATAATATAAACAATGGAATGTTGCTTGCTTACATATGATTTACATCTAAGAAAACTAAAGAACAAGAAAAAAAGGTATTTCATGACAAAGATGTATATAAAAAGTTTGGATGGATTTGGCATTATATAAATGTTAGAGGGTATTTATGAAAAAAAATTATTTTTTAGTTTAATAGCCTTTTAGAAGTAGTATAGATATTACACATACTAATAATTTTGCATTAATATGTCTACCTCTACTAACTCGTGTAGCTCATAAAATATTAAGATTTTATTAAACACTACTATTACTCTTGTATCTCACCACTCAAATATTGATGACACACTAACACATATTTTCTTCCACTAACATATAGCATTAACACACACACACACCATATTAATACAATAAAACTATTAAATTAAGTTTATTTTCCAACATTGAGAGAGAGAGAGAGAGAGAGAACATGATACATATAAACTACACCAGTATTATTTCTTCACATTTGAAACACCATAATGAATAAGTGAATGAATAGAATTGAACAAAAAACAAATGTTTCGCACTTAGTACAAAAAGTAACCACAAAAGAGGACAGAACAAGTACTTACACTTTGTTACAAGGTGAAATCCCAGAAAAAATAAAAAAATCAAGAATTAGCGACTTTCATGAAAAGAAAAGATTTTTTCTTAATGGCATGGCAATCAAAGAACTAGTTGACAGAGCTACAGATCTTCCTAATCACCCCATCTTGACCAGTGAGAGGTTGAATATCTCCCATTTTCACCATGGCAGCTGCAAAATCCGACGCAAAGGTCGAAGGGTTCCTGCTATACTCCAAGACAATAGTATCCGTTGATCCTCCGCTAAAAAGGACCTGGTCCGATTCGAGGAGACCCTTCTTTTGAATTAAATTCTTGAAGTAATTGTTGTCGAACGAATTGGGTGTCACGAGATCGAGTGGTGCCAAGTTGCTGTTTTGGCCGCTTGGAGGGCAGCGGCGCCTCCGGGTGCTGGCAAAACCGGCATCTATGTCTGTCCCATTGCTGTGAATCCTATTACGGAAAGTGAAGCATTGTGCCTGTCCTATAGTGTGTGCCCCTGCATTTCAATAAGGTAACATATACATAAGCTTTCTACACAATTTTTAGGATAAACTTTTACATCACTTTCATGTTCATTCATTCAATTCTATTACTTTAATCTCTCAAATTTATAGTTTGTGTCAAGTTTAGGCAATTGAAAATGGCAATTAAATTGACTAACAAGAGTAATTATGTGCACATCTCCTTTGACAACACTTAGAGGAGTAATCTTTAACCATTTTAGTGACTAAAATGACAATAAATGAATAACGACCAAAATATATAACACAATTAAAACTAGCAAGCTACAAAATGACAACATTGAAAAAATAAGGACTAAAATGGCAAAAGTTAATATAAGGTGTATATCAAATTAAGCAAGACGCACTCAACCACTTCAGTTAGTCAATTTAAAACGTTGTTTTCAATAAGAGTAGAGTGACACAAATAAAACAATTGATGAAGCAAAATTATAAAATTTAAAAACTGCCTAAGGAAGTGTTATAACATACATACTTAGGTGAGTATTACTTAATTTTGCCGCAGCTTTTGATTTGTTTTTGGTTTTTTTTTTTTCGGGGGGGGGGGGGGGGGGGGG